TTCTTTCGGGAGGGCTTTTACGAAATTTTTTTGAAACTTATTTTAAAGATCTTTCATCTTTATCGGTCTTTTTACATCGACTAACAAACACTATAGCTTTATCACACGGAACCAAAAACAGAGAAAAAGCAAAATAGGATGGGCTGTCAAAAACTAACGATAAAATAATATAATAATTTGTTTCATATTATTGTGGATCCACAGGTTGTTCGTCTGCTTGCTCATACATTTTTTCGTGCGGGTCTAACAATAACCATAATCCATTCTTCTCCCAATAATCACCTTCTTCGTCTTCTTGGATGTTTTTTGTAGTTCAGACAATAGATGCACGGTTTGTTGTTATTTACTGTTCTTTTCGAGCAATATTTATCTGTAGAGAAAATTTGTGTTTTAGCAATTTTTGAGTCAGAGGCTAATACATTTTCTTAGCATTACCTGTAAAACACACATCTCCCGGTGCTTTAAGTAAACCTTTTGCTGTATCTCGAATCGTGTACCATTTCACATCATCCAGAACCAAATATAGAGCATCGTCACACCATTCCTAAATCAAAGAAATCTCGATACCCTATGCATATATCTTATGCTTTTAGAAATATTACTTTCAAACTAAAATTAACATGAAAAAACATGTGATTGCCGAATATCCGTGCCCATGATGTTTTTCCTATAAAATAAAGCAATGATTAGGATAGGCTTAATGGACTTATTTAGAATAAAGAATTACCGGCTAATGTATCACCAACTATAAATAAGCATCTACATCGATCGATTTCGCCATTTATTCTTTTCATGAAGTCATTATCGAACCATAATTGCACTTCTTGTTCATATCGCTGTGGAATTCTAAAATACAAGGAGATAACTAGGTCAAGAGTGTGGACACAGTCTTGAGGAACCAGTTGATAGCTTACACAAATGAAGCTATCGGATATTTCGATTGATAATCCAATTTTTTTTGTTTTTTTCGTAATTCTTCTTCCTCATATAAGGTTCTTTTTATTTGTTGTGAGTGAATCAAAAAATCGTAAGGAAGATTTTCTTTTATCATTGCTATTCCTATAACAAAACATTATTGTGATCATTCTGACTCCCTTTGATTAATCTTAGTTTAATACCTTCACCAGCCGCGTTTTGATTAAATGCTTTAGCCGCAAAGTAATTTTGACGATTCTTATGTTCTGCTTGACTGGTTTTTAAATCATTTCTTCTTTTGTACGGTCCAGATTCAACGAATATTTCATCACAATTCGCTTTGATATCGTCATTAAACACATCCTGATTGATTTGGTACTTGTAATCGCTTACTTGAAGATCTTAACAAATCATAATCACTGACTACTGAACATTTATCCTGTATATTAATATAATTTCTTACTCGGTAATATGTCATTCAAAAACAGATCTTGGAAGTTATGTATTTTTTCAAATATTAATTGGATCGATATTGTTTTTGAACCGGTATAATTTGAAGTATCTTTTGTAAAATATAAAAAATACGGAACGGTTGTTTATAGGAAATTGACGCAAAGTATCATCTTACCTGCGACACATAGATAAAGTAGAGTCTTTTTGCCTCTTTTTGCATTTATTGTTGAGTTTGAGAGTGGATATTTATCACATATGGCGTCAAAAACATCTTTATAGTTAACAATACATTGTATATTGTTCAATTGAAAGTTCTTTTTAGCCAAACGAGTACATTGACGTGATTCATTTGCTTCTTGTGTTCTAGCTATTGTTGCTTCTTGAACTGTTGGAGATTGTGGTTGCTGTAATTGAGAGCCTAAAAGTAAAGAATTACATTGTAAATGAGCAGGTGTGTGAGAGGTGGGCGTAGAAGTAAGTTGTTGTTGGGATTGTGGTTTATTAACAGTAAGACGTAAAATAGAAGAACGGGAGGGTAATATAGCACGAGGTGTAGGGCGAGGAGTAGGAGTTAACACGATTGGTGAAATTATTCGTTGAACTGCTGAAACAAAACAAAAAAAAACAACTTAATAAACAATTTCGTTTTGTGTACCTGACATTAATACCTGCAGGATGATGATTATTAGAAATTGGTAGTTGTGGAGTTAGTAATATGACAGGATGATTACGAGTCGGCAAGATGCGACGGGCCACTGGTTGACTAATAGAGATGTTGGTGGATGATAATAGGGGTGTGTATGATGATAGTGCTTGTCGTGGTGGTAAACTACTTAGTGGTGTTTCATTTCGATTTACATTAGTATGATCGATAACTAATGATGATTTATTTGCTGATTCGTTGAAGCTGATAATATAAATGAGAAAAAAGTACATTGTTTTTATATTAAAATATGTTTTTGAACGACTATCCTTACGAATTTGTTGAAACGTATGCAAAAGTACTCTG